TACAGGCTAAAATTATACCACAGTGCAAGGTCACAAGCAGTCACTGACCTAGGTTTGCCCGGGCCGTTCATAATCCATGTGCCTTCAGTCTATTTGGGCCGCATTCATTGTTCATCGTGGACCAGAAGTTTGAAACACAAATGCGCGCCTTTCCATGCAGAACGCTGCAGTGTAACCTCTCGAGGGAATACAGGTCTTAATTAATCAGGTCGTAATGCCCCACTTTCTGTCTGAACTCTTTTCGCTGAAGCTTTAGTAGGTCTATGAAGTTTGAAATCAAATTGCTAGCAGGCGCAACAGTTCTGCGATTGCCTCGTTCTGGAGCCAACGGCCTCGATTTTGTATACGTACATTGTATACCCACAAAAATGCGAATATGAGTCGTATTAGATAATAAGACAGGTCTTGGCACTATTAAATATTACAGCTACTGAAATCAGAACCCAAAAGCTGACGGAATGACAACTGTAAAGAATTAGCCTCGCCCACATTGACTGGGGCTTAAATGAAACTGCGTTGATCAAGCTTTCGCCCACTGAAAATGTCTCCGACTTCCCAGAGTATATTATAGTCGAGCTAATCCGAGGGTGGAGTCCTATGTCTGAAGTGCGCCCATTCAGACAATAATAGAGGGGTTTTGTGTAATGCCTTTGACCGTCTTACTGCTCATTGGTTCACAGCCTTGAGATTTTTAAGAGTGCGCCCCAAGCATTCTTTCTTTTTTTTTTTTGTTGTGGATTGAAACATTAAATTATGGTTGATCACATATTCCATATCAGCAGGGTAAATACGTACTAATTTGTGATGAAATTTCTTTTTTATTGCTTTCATTTTTATACTCTTGAGTTAATCTTCCAAACTGAACAGTTTACTCGATTTCAATATAATGCCGACTTGTAAATGAGGTGTATTCTTTGTGCGAATGACCTTGCTTGTAAACACGTCAGGCTGGTAAGCTCAACCTAGCGAAAATAATTTTTAACACTATGGTAACCGGGATACGATTTTTTTATACAACACGCGTGAGGTAACCAGACTTGAATAAAAAGTGGGGGAAGATCAAGACATCGGTCCGACAAAAGCCTATTTCGGCATTTGGGCGTTGGGGGGGGGCGTCACAGTGTTGGAACAAAAGCTTTGATCTTCAAGGCTAAAGCCAAGGCCCCGACTCTCCAGGCTAAGGCTGAGGCCCAGACGTTTACCTCCCCGACCTTAACATATGATGCAAGATATGGGGCGGAGAGAACCCCCCGCCTTTGTGTTGGTCATTGTTTGATCGGAATCTCAGAAATTTTTTTACAGACTTCTAAGGGGGATGTGTTACGTAACAATACTCTAGAGTGTGTATTGGGATTGGACATGGGGGTACCCATCGGCACCATATCGTGCACAGTATCAACCTTAATTCAAAGGTTTAACGCTCAAGTCTAAGGCCAAAACCAAGGCTTTTGCCCTCAAGCCTTAAGACAGCCTCAAGCCCAAGGCTCTGTATCAAGGCACTGCATCGCTGGGCGCCTACTCTCCCTGCCCACCTGTACTCTCCCTCAACAGGTGCCAGCGGTGCAGTACCATGGGGCGATTGTTATTTTAATCTCGCATCTTTCCAGTTTTATATCACACAGTTATTCAGACCCAATCACATGAATTGTATTTAATTTAAGCAGGCGTATAGCTGGCAATTCTTTCGAGGAAAATTGGGATCCTGGCAGGGTGGCATGAGGTCTCTAAAGAAGTCTAGGCCCCTCCGGGGACAACTGTTAGTTCCGGGCCTGGAATTCGCTTTGCTTTGTCTGTTGTTCCCCACCAAAATGTAATGACAATAAACTCTCTCAACAGACGCGATCGCTGTCTCGCGCGTCCCAATACTTCCGTTTATATGTATGTAACGCCACGATAGATTTTGGAGTGTACTAATCCGTCATCTTTTCGAAGAACCTGGGTAATTCCGGTCTACCAATGACTCAAATCAATTTTCTAGTTTACATACTGTATATACGCAGCTGCAATCATTACGTCACGCAGATGGTTGCTAACCAGCGATTTTAGTGACAACCGGACAAAATTTGGGATGCCTGTTCAGTTTTATTGGCGTTTTGTGTGTTGCTGTTTCATTGTTCCAAATTCTCTAATTCTTTGCTCTGGTGGACTTTTGAAAAGCTCACGGATGTTGGAATCTGGATAAAAGACAAGGAAACACCGGCAGTTTGGTGACGATACGAGTTATCTTTTCCAAACGTTAAGCTTTTTTGCAGGGAGTATTCAGGATTCGATATTTTGGCAGCAGACATCACTGGCTTCTGGGGAAGAAAACGAATCGTAAGGGAAAATGCATGTTTTTCATTTTGGGCGGGTGTAGAGCTACACAATTCTCGGCTTCCATGGAGGATTGATGGCATATTTTTCATTTTGTTCCTTGGATAAATGCAAACTTTAGCGTTCGGTCAAGCTTACTGCACGCGATTTTGAGTGATCTAGTATGCCCCACCCACTGCGCACGCGGGCACTTAGCACGTGTTCTTTTCCAGCGCCACACGACATGTTATTCAGCCGCGCGCATATCATACCTGCGTGCATCCATGTCGAACTTTTGTGCACGTATGTCGGACCTACACCATGGCTGTGATTGGTCAGAAAACAACGGGGTGGGGCTTAATGTGTCGGTAAATTTCTAATGACTCACTCTTTGTAGTTTTTAGTAGACGTTTAGAAACTCGCCACGAAAGCCTTATATAAAACGAGACTCTTGCAAAATGATTTTGAATTTCGTGAAGTCCTGTTTTCGACAAATTGAGTATTGTTTGTATCTTTCAAAAATACCCTCTTGGAAAGCAAAAATGAAACCAGTCGGAATCATCTCAAAATCCAACCCCATCAAAGATAAATATGCTAGTTATCTGTATCATTTAGTCAGCAACATGCCATCTTTAAGAGCACGCTACGAGTGGCTGGGTGACACTTATGGGATAAGATTTATCTTACTTTTAAATGATTCAAAGGATTAGGAAATTATTCCCTCAATTGTTACTCTGTTCCAGTCTATTGCGGTTGTTGCAAAGAAGGAGTCCTGAAAGGCTTTGGCTTTATGTCGAATATAATCTTGAAGAGGGACTGCGACCAGGCCATTCATCTTGCGTATCATACATAATCTTTGCTTTGGTCTCTTGCTTTTTAGTGTGCCCCAGCCAAGGTCAGCCAGTGCCCTGGTACTTACTCCCTCCTCCGTCTTGGAGTTTCTGGTACAGAATCTAGCAGCTTGCCATTGCAAGTGAATTTACGTTCTGTTTTAATGGAGGCTCCTATGCTACTGAGGCACGCTCGAGTATACGCCTCACCGTTGTTTTCATCCCCAGAGTTACAATGATTGTTACATCCTCACATTTGCATCTTTGCTAAATCCCCAGAGGTTTTTCCTAATAACACTGTGGGCTCTTTGAGCTTTATTACAAACTTTATCGGTATGTAGATTTCATTTCAAAGTATCAGAGAAATGAAGTACCAGTATGGATAAGTGTCAACATGGGAAAGTTCTTGGCCACAAAACTGGTATTTGTGTTGGGGTGGGTTTCATTTTCTGATAGCGATGGTGCGGCATTTGTTGGGGTTATACACTTCATAAGCCATGTGTCCTGCCAGTTCACAAGCAGTTTTAGGTCATTTTGCGGTGTACTTGTTTGTTGATCAGGATTAAGCGGGGTGTACAGAATACAATCATCTGCAAACAATCCCATGTGACAAGATGTAAAATATTGATAAATTTGGCTATGAATTAGTCATAATGAGTGCAGAAGTACCGTATCCTCATTCATTACAATCCATCAAACTAGAAAAGATATGACTCGAGCTGGACCAAGAGAGTGCACTATTTTCTTGTCAACGGAGGCTCCTTCGGTCGGAACTGAACTTCGCTGGTTCACGAACGACTAGGAAATACACGTGTCACGGTCGCATCGCTACCGAATAAATGAACACTCCCAACCAACGCGACTCTGTTCAACCGATGAGGGGGCGCTTCTGCTCAAGGCGAATAGACACCACCATGAGAGATTCTGTGCCCCGGTGTTTATGTACTGGTAGTTGCTACACTTGATCTTTTACAGTTCCGGTACTGGTTACAGAATTTTGGAACGGAACTAGCAGAGGAGAGAGACCTGTGTTCTCCCAACAAAAAGATCCGAGACAAAGACGAGTCGGGAACGCCAAGTGGGATAACAATATTCTGATGGCAGTTGGAAAAGTTGATAACCCGGAAACAAGTGGCAAGAGACTTCAGTATGTGGTCTGCCACTTCAGTGCACTGTCATTTTTCAGTCATAATGATGATTTGAACTTTTTGTGCCTATGGCTACACTTGTACGTTAAACAAGCGAATGGTCCTTGATATTTATTGTGTAAATGATGCTGACAGTTTAAAAAATAGATCTCGGAGGCGGCCGTTCTTTTTTTCAGTGGCAGGACAGAAATATAATTAGCCCAACTTGCCTGTCATCTGTGCCCATTACGAGCTGTGTTCATGAGCGCGCGCCCAAAGCCACTTGTTTTGTCTGCTCATTTTGGTTTTGACTTTGTACCCGAGTAGGATCTGACGGTTCGCTCCTTCCCAGAAAGTCAGTCGAGCGTAACGTGGAAACTATTTATTAAGCAGAGTGCCATTGTAATGGACTTGAATCGGTTGCACTGCGATGGAGCGATGAGCTACAGTAACACATAGGGCCCAATGAAACATTGGACCCGGCTTCGTATAAATATAGAGTCGGATTTTTGGCCCATTGGACTGGGAAAATCCCGATATATCGACAAGGGACAAAGGTTAAGTTCACCTCCTAGAATTTAGGCCATTTATCGTTTGACTTTTCAGCAACACAGTTAAAAGTTATGAATGTTACGTCGGAACGTCGACATTGTCCTTTTAATTAAAAATGTGCTTCATGCATAAGATTACGTTACTGAGAAGATACTTTTGTGATGAGATTGGCAATTTTTTACGTCATATGTGTGGGATTATGTTGCTGCTGAGCTTTTCCAAGCTGGAAGTGAGTTCATCGCCAGAGAAAATAAATCTCGAGTGATACATCGTGCCACTCAAAGAATTGGGCGTGCCTTCCAAAGAAGTACCTCGTGCAACTGTGCGTTTTGCAAATTGACAGTCTCACACGGTATCTGACGAGGTTCGAGTGTGTCTAGTGCATTTTAGAGAGATCACGGTGCTCTACACGCGTTTCTTTTTCCAGTGGTGTCTGCAGGTGGTCTAAGGTTATACATCATACAAACTGGACTGTACCCGATGCAAGGAGGATTGTATTCACGAAAGTGTCATCCTGCGTCAAAGCAAGTGGGGTCCCGCCTTTAGCTCGGTGGAGGATTTGTGCCTTACGCGATTTGGAATCTTGCCTCCTATTGGTGGAATCGTGTCTCACACAGTCAGCGTTACCTCACGCAAGACAGTGTAACCGTGAATCATAAAAGAGGGACTGGTGCATCGAGATGCTAGTGTGACACGAGGCCCATTTCTGGAAGGGATTCTGGTATATAAGTCTGTATTACGTACCTTACGTAAAAGCTATTGTAGCGAGGGAAATAGAAGTTCCTCGTGCACCAAGGTATTATTTTATACAAAGTTTGAAAAAGAGCACCATGTTTGTGTTTTGACACGGTCAACAGCATACAGCCAGTGTGTTCAAAAACAGTGTCTTCATTTGAACCGGGACCAACTGGATTCTCTAGCACCTGGTACTCTGTCAAATCCATGCATTGTTCCCACTCCAAGTCTTGCAGATAATCAAGACCCTGGTCGACATAGAAACTGTCATCCTACTCCTCAATAATTGATGCATAATTCGGAGACCCACGTGCACCCAAAACTCTGCTGCAACGAGAGCAGTATGTCTCAACTGCGCGTAAATCCAAATCATACTCTAAACTTGAATCATCCGCATTCCCTATTTATCCCTCAAAATAATGTGAACAATCTCTCTGTACCGAATTTAAACCCCGTTTATAGCCGATGCGAGGATTCTCATGCAAGTCCACACACTGACCCACAGCCCTGCCCAAACTCAACTAATCTAGCCGTCGACGATGCCTTGAGGTCGCCATCATCTCATCAGCAGCTCACCTTCGATTGCCAACTCAATGTTCAGCAGCTACAGGATCACCTGCAGCAACTTGACCAACAAAATCAACAGCTGCAGCGGTATCCACAGCAATGTATACATAACTTGCAGCAACAGAAACATCAAGAGCAGCAACAGCAACAACCTCAGCAACAACATCAGCAACAACAACAGCAACAACATCAGCAACAACCTCAGCAACAACATCAGCAACAACATCAACAACAACCTCAGCAACAACATCAGCAACAACATCAACAACAACCTCAGCAACAACATCAGCAACATCCTCAGCAACAACATCAGCAACAACAACAGCAACAACATCAGCAACAACATCGGCAACAACATCAGCAACAGCAGCAGCAGCAGCGTCGGTTTGAATTTTCGGTGCATGCATGGGTTCAGCCACTCCATATGCACCTTGACATGACCGAAACCCCAAGTCAAATCCCTGAACAGACACGCTGCCAAACCGGTTGTAAGGAAGAGGTTTTCAGCTTGCAAGAAGGTAGCTCATCTTGTGACGTCAGAGTATGTTCTGAAACTCTACGTCAAGATTGCATGTTTGCCAAATTTAAAACACCACCATCTTCAGCAGTAATGCAAGCTGACTCTTGGAACAACTCCAGATCAGCCTCCTACTCACAACTTCAGACCCTGGCACAGAATCCACACCACAACCCTGGACAGACGAGCGGTCCCGTACCGGGGACATCCCCTCGGCAAGGCCGCATGATGTCAGCGTGCTCGCTGGAGTCACCCTCGTGCAGTGTTCCCGACATCCACTCGTATCACAGTGCTACAGCTCAGTCATTTCCGCATTCACCACAGTCGAAACATCCTCACTACCGAAACAAACACCACCCGGGACAGACACTTCTGAAAATGGAGAGGCGAACCGGTGAACACAAGCGATGGTACATGCCCCCGGATCCACCATGGGGTGTTGCTGGGGGCACAAGCTCGAGTTCATGGCAGGAAAGTTCTCGACCGCAGTTGGGTCAGTATGCTACGCGGGACGATCGTCGGGCTCAACCCGGCCAACCGTGCGCGATGAGCTCGGAGAAAGACAGCGCCGATGTACGAGGTATGTCATGTTCCTCTTCATTGAGAGAAAAAAAATACTCCCCTTCGTGAAGTTATCACGTAATTTATTGCTTGTAAACTACAGTCTGAATTATGATTTATGTTTTGGATTTATTTTCCCAAAGAAGTAACACATACCCAGGAATTATTTCGGCTCGGTTCATGTGTTTGTCGTTTGGTATGGATAGCACTTGGCAAGCGCTGACGTATCGGGTTATCTCTATTTAAAATAACATCTGATCTTGACATAACTCGTTTTGTACAAGATATGTATATCATCACCTTGAAAATAGGGGCGACGTGCACGAAAGAAATCACAAACCCGTTCTGCTGTTTGGACGTTTTTATTTTAGATATCGTACAAACAGTCATGGACTTCGTCGAAAGATGTGAGCTTGGGGGGATGATCGTGCCCATAAAACAGAACATCAACCATCGTAACTGTGTTGTCAACACAAAATGTCCATTTGAGGACTTCCAATATATTACATTTTTAAATGAAAATATGAGAAAGTGCGAAACTATTTGGAGTTGTCGTCGCGGCTTGACGTTATATTTGGCAAAATAACTGGGGTGTGGTTTTGCTTGTCATCCATGGCGTCCATTGCGCCGTGTAGACAGGTGCCTGAACACGGCTGTAATGTTTGTTGACGTGCATATGCAGAAGACTTGGGACTAATCAGCTTTGTGTCAAAGTTCGAACTTCTGGGGACATTCCTCAACACACTAAACAGAACAACGACAATCCAACAAACAACTCATTTGACACGAAACAGACAAAAGGTTTTGTCACGTTAAAACAAGCTACCTTTGAGGAGTGCAGACACTCAGAAATTATTGTAGAAACGAGTCGAATGCAACTTGGAAAGATTTTGGTTTATGCTCCTCGGGGTCTTTCATGTTCGTGTGCACGAAATGCTGACTTTTAGAATCTCCCCTGTTGTAGATTGCATTCTGTCCTTTGTCTCTTCAATCCATAGTGCAACACTACATGTACTGTGACTCAGATTTCCTATGAAAGTCTCAAATATTTGACAACTATTTTAAACTATTTTTTTACCTCTACATGCCTCTCTGGTGCTGATTAAATTAGAAAGCACGTGGATTTCGAAATAACCGTTTATACAAAGCAAATTATTACTCTGCGCATGTACGTGTTGGCTATGCCGCCTCCCCGTTACGGTCCTTTAAAGACGATTTTTTTAAGCTCAAAACTCGAGTCGGTGGACTGAGAGTGTTCAGGACTTGAAAAAGCTCTCTCAGTATTTTCAGCGACACCAGTTAAACGCAAAGAGAGTGGATAAACGGAAATAAAGAAAAACTCACGCAAGGAAGTTTTCTTGTTTTAGTTGGCACGTTGTAACTTACTTTATTTAATGTAAAATATTTTTCCGGGAATATAATTTTCTACTCACTTTACATTTTTATTGTTTTAAAAAGTGTGTCAGTTCCATTAGTTAAGACTCTGATGACCTTTTTGAGTGTTGGACCACTTTGTAGGGCATCGGTGTATCAAAATATTGTAGGTCAAACAGTGCAGTTATCATGGTTTGTAAAATTGCATGTTAAGGTTGTAAAACAAAAAAAATTAGCCATCCCGGAAGATTGAACATAGTTTCACTCTGTATAGGGAATTGTTCCCTTTTGGACTTTTTCATTGTACCACAATAACATTATCAGGCTGTTGAGTTATTGACCATGAAGTGAACTTAAATCTAAAGTACCCATTACAGAGATGCATTTCTTCCTCAGAAATGGGCTGACTGACTACATTTTGTTAGATTTTCCTTTGTAAAGCTTACAGGATAAGCGAACACATATAAAAGTTAGTCACAAATTAGTGGCATTTCTCAAAATAATAAAAAAAGATCTCGCTCCTGATATTTTGGCTTACTCTTAATCACAAATGAGCGACGGATCTCTTGGATGGCCTTCGCTGTTTAATGTATGCAAAACTCATTGTGCATGAAAATCGTCGGCGAAGCTAAAAGACTGTGAGAGGGCACGCGAGATTGTAGGATGTAGGCTTAGAGAAAGACAATTTTGGCAAGTATTACTCTCTCTTGCATTTAACTACTCCTAAGTCGGTGGTCATCAGGGTTGTTTGGTCAGTCTTTCGATTATGGAGATAAGCTTTGAAAGTTTCAAAGTTAAGATGAATCCACAGTTAAGGGTGTAAACATATCTTCCACTGCTTTTATGTGCACCTTAAGAATCGGTGTTTAATGGAGAATTCGGAGAGCCTATGTAACTCAAATTTTCTTCGTGGAAATGTTCTTATTGTTGATGCTCTCCTAATATGCCATTTTTTTTTTTTTTATTTTGCACGATGTTGATGGCTAGACATTACAACATAAGCCTGAGTCCCCAGCTGGTTCCAGTAAACAACATTTCAGTTAATTGTTTGAAAGATGGGTCTAGATTAAATTACGCTTTGAGTATTATTTACCAACTCGTGGCCCTCGGTGATGCTGACATTTGAACACCCAGTGCTCAGCAATGGCAACTTCGACGGACAAAGGAATTTAACTTTTGGGCTGTCGCGCAGATGTGGAATTTTAGAAAAGGGGGCAATTATTCGGCAATGCAGACGGCTCCAAAACTGGAAAAATAGCCGCTAACTTTTGACATTTGTTTAGTCTTTATATATATGTACACATATATTTATATAATTGAGGGTATACCACCTGGCTTCTTCCCCTTCCTAGATCCGCCGGGTGCACCCTTCACCTGGTGTTTTGCTTAGCTTATCCGGGAAGCGGGGCACAAATTTTCCAAGAGTAAGGCTTAAGTGTACCACAAATTTTTTTTTTGTTAAAAAAGCTTTGGCCCAGGCGACAATCAATCAATTAAAAATCAACGAAACAATCTGTTTATGGCTTAAGCAGGTGCCGCATGGGCTAGATGTGCACTTTCTGGCGCCTTGTTTTTAATCCAGCTTCCACTTTTGGACGACAATAACGAATGCAGTGCCTTTTGTCTTCAGAATATTTTAGAGATCGTGGGCAGCACCACTTTTTTTTACGTATGTCACGTGCGTTTTTCTCAAGGTATGCGTACACTTTGACAATTCTTTGGCCGCTTCCCGCGCTCGCGCTCTTGTTTCACGTTGACAGGAATGGACTGGGAGCTAGTCTAAACAAGTTTTTAACACGCTATTGGTCGAGTGAGTTTTGACTGGGCGTGCCGACTGGCCACGTGCGACTGGGCGCGAGGGCGGATCTGTTCAAGACTTGCAAGCTGTCCAGCGGCGATATGTGGTTGAATTATCAGCGATTGAACGTCGAGCAGAATGTTGGACTTACACGTGATTTACTTTGACATTCTTTCCAAGAGATGAAAGATACGATTACCGCTGTGTTTTGTGGCAGAGTAGTGCTTTAAACACTTGTTACTCTGTTATTAATAACCAAGCTGAACAAAAGGCTTTTGGCAACAAGTGCAATTTCCAAAAAAAATCATGAAATGATCCGCATACCCGCGCGGTATATGTCAATGGTGTCAGGAAAATAAACGAAAGCATTTGAGTCCATCCTTTGAGTAACAGAGTGATAAGTTAAGTCTTTAAAGATATTTATAACAACCTTTACCGATGCCAAACTCAAGGTATATCGCACGCGTTCATTGATTTTCAGGCAAGCGCACAAGTATTTGGTAATTACACAAACCGCTATTTGGTTAATATAACACGACTACGACTGAAGGTCCTAGGTAAAACCCTGATTCCTTATTTGCCCAGTTATAATTTTTTGTTGTTGGAATGACTGGCGTCAATGTCAGTAACGGACTTTGTCCGTGTTTCTTCCGGGTTAACAACTTCCGTGTAATTTGGGCTATAGGTAAACATGAACTGGTCTTTAAAAAAAAAAAAAGAACACTCGCCACCCGAGAAAAACCCGCCTACTGTTGTCACACTTACGTTGGGATCCGGGCCTTTGTAAATCGATTGAGTCCCACAGCACCCTTCCCCCACCTGTCCCCCCTGGACCCCACCCCCGATACAACTAGCTCCGACAGCTGGTTACAAATATTATAAAAAAAATAAAAAAAATTACATTGAAGAGGAAAGGCCATTCATATTTATGTTAGCAGGGAAACTCGGGCCCCCTTTTCCTTCAAAAAAGTCTTCATCACACACAGCTGTGAGAACAAAATTCAAAGGTCAGATCAGAAATTGACTGACAGCAAATATCTTGAAATAATTAGCCTTTTGTCTGTAGTCTGCATCCGTCTTTACCTTTTACGACTAACTTTCAAGGTTTTTGTCCACAATACTCCTTCCCCCAAAAAATACATATTATGCATTGTGATGGCCCCAAAGAGGAAAAATGGTTAAATAATTGCTTTCAAGTGTAAGCAGTCAGGGCCCTTAGGCTGCGTCCGAAACGGGCTTCCAGAGCTACGGGTAGGTCTATTGTCTATGCGTCTCCACGCATTTCCAATGGAGGGAAGACCTAGACCCAGCTCTAGACAACAGATTCGGATGCAGCCGTAGATTCTGAATACTGGCCTTCATTATACCGTTAAAGGTGCCCTAAGATCCGGGAACGCATCAGCTTTGCCCAGCCTGTCGTTTACTTTCAGAAGTGATGTCGTAATTGTTGTCGATCGTCATCCCAAGTAGCAAATACAACATTTTAAATTGCACGTAATCTGGGTTTTTTTTGTCTACAAGTTACATAAAGTTTGAACGCTCAAACATTCTATTTTGACAGCCTTGGTGTGGAAATGTTTTTGTAACTTTCAAGAATTCATCTTTTGCTTGAACAATGTTTCTTTTCCTGAACGTTCCTTTGAAACCACATCAAAACCAACTTCTAAACTATAATCCCGTTGTTTCACATAACAATTTTTTGTCCCATGCATGTGTTGGAAAGAGCGGCCATTAGCATAGCCAAAAGATACCCTCCGATGACGCCATTTACATTGTGTTCAGAATGCCCTAGCCACGTGACGTAATTAACTGCGTCGTGCATCCAAACAAAAGCATATCTACTTCACTTATGATATTTTCTGGCCTTTAGTTTGAACGCTCCACAGATCACATGATGCCGGAGCAGCAAACGCCACTTCCAAAACAAAAGGACAGACGAAGCAAAAATTGGAAAGATCGAACCGAGTTTGCGCTTTTTCTTGTTTTGTTCAGTACAGCGTAAATAAAACTATATAAAACGACCGGGGGAAAAGTGACAAATGACGACGCCAGCAAATCACACAATACAAAAGCCCTCCAAATATAATTTGTATCAACAACATTCATTCAATCACCTTTCTGACATTTGGAATGTATTGTCGTAAGTCCCGGCTCGTGCCCGGCTAAACCCCCAGGATATACTCGGTGAGGCGTGGGTGGAGCACGCGTGCGTCTCGTTTGGACCGGGGAAATTTTGGTTTTCTTCTAAAGACCTTTAAAACAGTCACCGTCACCCTTTTGGCAGACCCTCCCCTATCACGCTATCACCGCCCTGGCAACCCCACGCGGGCCCGTTCGACGCCCCCGCCAAATGTGGAGACAGCGCGCAGCTGTTTATGCAGTCCGGGACGCATTGTTTACCTCCGTGGAGGAGATCCAGGCTGTTTTCTGCTACGTACGAGACCAGAAAAGCCGAGACATCCGCACGAGTCTGACGTAGGGTCACGACGCCCACGCAGTTGCAGCTGGTAAGGGGAATCCCCGGAAATGCCCCCGGAAGAAGATCTCGGAAATATCCGCAGTGTTAATAACCAGCAGATTTTTTTTTCTGTGCTGATGTGATCTGACTGTGCTCTGCTAGCATTTCACACAGCCGTGTTTCTTAAAACAAGGGTGCCTTTAAAAATGGTACTGTCGTGTACTTCGAGAGGAGTAGTAGGCCTGTGTCATATAAGTGCTTCCGTCGTGTTTAAACGGCGAACCACGTCGTTTCCTTGAGATTCGACCTTAGATGTGAAAGTATTTGTCATTATTTTCCGGCTGTTAGGGACAATGGTAGTTGGGCGTTGGTATGATGAGGGGTCGGGTGGTTGGAATGATGTTTATCGGGGTCCTTAAAGGGTTCGTGTGACATAATTTTTGAAATGAAGTCTTTGAAATTCACCTTTGTGTACCATTTACCCTATTATCATTTTCTCGTTTTCCCGTTGTGGAGGGTATTTTGGTCGTCAGCGTGTGATTTTTCAGGATTTTCCGATTCTTATAGGGATTTTCGGTTTCGGGACTTTTTCATCAGTATCAAACTCTGTAAAATTCTGAAACTAAAGTGTCTTTACCTTTAAATACAGACGTTAATGTAAAAAGTAAGACGTTGTGTACTTTATTAAGGGGATGCCTTAAGTAAACACAATTCCGCTGGAGCCCTCAAGTCCTCGGGTGTTCATTTTGTGGGTATTTCATCTTCCTGCAATCTAATCGGATATTTTTACTCCCGTATTTTACATGCGAATTCAGGAGGAAAAATGACATGTCAGCTGAGGAGGAAGCCTCAATTTTGCAGTCTGTTATTTCAGCACCAACATTTGCCAGAAGTCTGGCTACTTTGCTGTCTTAATTTTCTTTCCTTCGGTTTGGTGTCATTTCATTTCACGACAGTAGGCCAGTAAACAAAGTTCTCTTTTAAATGTTTTCAGCGAGCAAATTTAGAATTCAACATATTGAAGCAGAAATCCCCCTAGAGTTTAATCCAGTGCATTTAAGACAAAAAACAAGTGAACTGTCCATACATTTATGATAATTAAAAATAGTTACGCAATAATTACAAGAAAAATTATGATGTGAACAATGTAATAGCAACTACAAAAGACATCTGCTTCTTCAAGAAATTACAATGGTACATGCCATGTCTTGTTCAAAGATTTCATAGCATTAAATGTTAGTTGTATGATCAATTTATAGAGAATTATTTCCATTGATTTCCATTCATTGTAATCAGGCTGTCGTTTTTCCCAGGGAATTCGTGGGTTTTTCAGTTGAGTTAAAGAAATCAGATAACTCAGCCTGAGAGAGTTTCCATTTTTTCCTTCACAGACTCTTGGGAATCGAACCTTCCTTCTTCCTCCGTATACCCTCCGTTACCCCAACAACAAGCCTTCGGTGGAAGACCACATGTGGCTATGACCTGCCCATTGGTGTCCCCACGGATGACGTCAGCATCACGTGAAAGCAGCCAGCATGGCGGCGCCCATTATCGCTGTCAGAGCTCGGGAAAGCTTCTCCAGCACTCCGGGAGGGGAGTGGCCACCGAGCCGAGGACAAGAAGTAAGTTATTTCCCAAATGTCCCCTTTCAACTTAACACCACGTATTAAGGACTGGTATCCTGACTCGTATCAGTGGGCGTGGGTTTAAGTGTGAATGGTGGTCCTACCCGCGACTTTAGATAAGCAGTGGAATATGGGGGGGGGGCTCAAAATGCCAATGAAATTATGTCCCCGGGTCAACATGCTGCTAAATGGACATGTTGCCCTCGAAACATGTTGGCATTTCAAAAGGAAACTAAATTGCTGTGAAAACGTTGAGGCCTGCTGAGGCATAGCATCTTTCATGGGGTGAAGGGCAGAACATTTTATGGATGAAACAATGGACAATCCAGCGCTTCAGACAGAAGCCCCCCCCCCAACTCAAAACCTGATGAGCCCAGAGTTTGGTATTATTGATTTGGGGAGTAGAGCCTCTGTGGGATGAGTGATGAATGAATGAGGAAAGTAGACGCAGTACAAAGCTTTATGCTAACATCCGTTGTACTTGTGACTGCGCACCATGAAGGGTTGTTTATGTTGATAGCCTCTTAATTGGACAGACCCAACTAACCATGGCAACAAATGTGGATGTTATGTTTATAAATGAAAATTAACCATCAGTAGATATTCCCGAATGTCTTTTCCAAATCCTTGTGACTCCTTTCCTTTACCTTTTATCAGGAATCGTGGTCTCACAAATCAATTAATTTCTTTTTTCCCCACTTGGCTTTTTAGATTCACTTCGAGGGGATGGAGGTTAACTTTTAAGGGTCATTCTCTTTCCACAGAATGTTGAAAATATCTCAAGTTGTTGAAAATAAAAGCTTTCTCCAAACCTGACTCAAATACCTGACTATATGTAACCCCATCATAACTCTGTTGAACACCGTCTAACCAACGACGACACTCATAGTCGAACAGATTTGGTCGTTTTTCGGTTTCTCAACGCTTAGAAACATTGGGCTGGGCATTTAGCTTTTTAGCTTCCAATTCCCATCTGAATAATCAAATCCCGGATCTTGCACGGTTGACATCACTTTGTACTTCGAAGAACTCCCATCAAAGCGAAAGCCAGCTACTAAGTATAAATAGACCGATCGCGGATCAATGTACATGTATGATATTACAACGGTTGATTTTTCTATCCTGTAGTTGTGAACACCGCCCTCTATTGGTGGCGCAGTTCTACGCTTCAAACATTAACACACTGTTGCCAAGGAAGTCGATCGGGCCGGGTGTTGTAGTTCCTGGGTCAGATATGATACAAGTGTTGAAACGCCCCCTGTTGAGAAGCTTGATTTAATTTATTTTAGTTTATTTTAATTTAATTGTTTTTTTCGCTCGTGTAAAGTGTAGCAGTAAGACACAACTTGATGGATCAGAGAACAATTCCATAAATTGTTGTTTGCAGTGCGTCAGCTATGAAAATCATCAGTCCGCATTCACAATATTATTCAAACGCGGATGACGCGCCAACAGCGTATTTCCACTGATCTCCAAGTAGAAAATGTTTATAGCTCGTTAGCTGTATTCATCTTCCTCCATTGGAATAAGCAGAGCAGACAAGTCATAAACACTCCCGGCTTTTTCAGTGTATTGTTCGTGGATTGGTTATATCAAAGGCAGTGATGTTTGAGATTTATACCCAGCGGAGTGTTTATCCCGAAACTCCCTTGAGTTGTCACATAGCGCCACCGTCTGCCCTTTCACCGATTTCGTGCCTCAACAGCCCCAACACGTGTTGTTACTGGGCCAATCCAGAGCCACGTATCAAGTCGTTAAACAACACTAGTGTTGAAATGAATTGAGTTTAAAAAATGCTCTATCATACCCTTTTCCACTGATAGTCTCTGACGTCAAAAGTCTGACGTCAAAAATCTCGGGGTCTTTTATCGAATAAAATACTTTATGATGTAAATTCAAGGGACGCTAACGGAGGTTTTGACAGCCTTAGGCGTCTGATGGGTGAGAACAAGGATGCTGCAGTTTGACGGCCAGAACAGAAATTCTTTGATCACTGTTATTTTGGAACGCAGGGGCCAGCCGATGATCGAGCACGGTTACAAATCGGCGTTTGACGAGTTTACGAACGTCAACTAGGGAAAAAAGAAGGTTATTGTTCTGATCTGAGATGTGATAATGTACATACTACACCGTGGAATCGGAAAAAACATGGTTCTCTGATTTCATGTAAGCTCATGTTGCATATTAATTTTATTTGTTGGACGGGTGCCAGAAACGTAAGATGGCAGCTCCCTCCACCGAAAAGGATCAAATAATTTTCTGGCTCGTTACTTGGAAGACTAGGTTATTGCCGAACAGTACATGGCGTTAATTTAGCGTTTTGAGTCATGGATGGGTACAGGGGCGTCGGTTTAACCTTCGAGCAGTATGCTCTGACTGCTTTGCGGAGAAAAGGAAATCTTTCCGTAAATCACGAGAAAGCACATAGCTGACCCTCAGTGGTAAATATCATCGACCCATTATACCTTGCTAAAAGGCGTCTTATCTCTAGCTTGGGCCTTGCTTTTGTTGATTAATTAAATACGGCGCTGTCACCTTTTGGTGTCTCTTAAGTTCCAGCTAGCCCGTAACCTTGAGTAACAAGGCAAACTCTGTACATGACATACATCTAAAATTTGTGACATGCGTTTGTGGAATGCATGACAGCATAGGCCCAAATAATTATTAATTAACCCCGTCTTAGTAATGCTTTTTTTTCATTGACGGCAGAAAATGTATATTAACTTCAGGCAAATCCTTAAATTAATCTTATCAGCACCTTCTGTCTTCTTCAATTCTCTCAACAATGAGCATTTCAGAAATCGGAGCTCTGAGTGGGATGTGGATCCAGGTCAATATCGAGTTGAACATTTCATTTCCTCACATCATGCACCAACCGATCAACGCCAGGCATACCTTGATATGTCATTCATTTAACTCGTCAGTGGTCGAATCTACGTGATTGCACATTATGCTACTGTTAAGCCATATCGTTTTTCGTCTTTCTGAGCTACGTCGGACTGGCTGTCCGCGTGAAGTTATCCTTGACACCTCAAGTCCCGTTCTCATTGATGAGCAATGAGTGCTTTTCATTTCTGTCGGCCGATCTTTCATTTTCAAAACACTCAAGGCTTTTTTATGAGCGCCTCAATGCTCCACGAATGCTTTAAAGTGAATTGGCCACTAGATAACCTTGGATTACAATGGTTGAAACAGTTCTTGTGTGAAGTAATTTCACGGAAGAGTGTTTTCCTCGCTGGCCAGTCTTGCAGTTAATTTCAAAAACCTTCTCAGGAAATGCCGCTGTGCGCTGAGGACAACCAAGGAACAATGTGAAAGGAATATTTGTGAGAATATGGACTCTTCACTATCCACCATTTTCGACTCGAGCAGCTGTTTGAATCAAGGAAGTTAAAAAAAAAAGGTACAAGGCGATTTGTTTTGTGCAGTTATCGACAATTCTGGAATGCTGCTATGAGTTTCGCTTTTGATTTCCCTGAAGGGAAAAGCCTGACCCTTTTTTTTCTCACGTAGCCCTTCTATAGGTTGTGGAGTGTTTTGTTTGAAATCGTGATTGACATTTTCAGTCTTGCTTCTGTTTGTGGTAAAGCAGAATCTGTGATATTTGTAGGGAAAACTATTGGATTTGACGACGACGTTGCGTGCGTTTTTACAGACTCTGAGACGAGTTACGACTTTGCAAGCTGTCTTATTACTGTGAAAGAATTTAAGTAACAAGAACAGAACAACTTCACATGCATGGCCAAGTGCCCTTTTGATCTGGTCATCCTTGGTCCGTCAACCTTTACGTTTGCAATTTTCAGGGAAAATGGCAGCTACTGTCCACATGATGGTGCTCACCCATCTTCAACAGCGAAACGCAGAGGCCAATACGAAAACAAGGTCGATGGGTGTGGAGGTATCAAGTATCCGACAAGTGACTTCGTCACAAAGGCAAACGCGCCACGATTTGCAGGCTCTCATTGGACAATCCGGTTTCATGGTTCCATGTAAACTGCGATCAATGCATGTAACCCTATGTGTCGTGCACGTGTGCAGTGGGCGTGGTTTAAACTGAAGTGACGTCACACTTACGATCCGAATAGATACATTGCTTTACAGAACAACAATCACAGAATTTCCACTTTTTCAAAGATACGCCCAGTAATAAACTTCAAACTGAACTTATTTGGTGTTTGTAAAAAGCGACTGCAGTGCCAAACTATGGCACGAGTCATTGTTTCATAGTATTTTCCTCCTAGTTTCAACACTGACTCAAACTAGTTTACGGAACATCAACCTGACTATCAGAAGTTGCAACAGATGGATGTGATGTTATGCATGTTCGGATCACACATTCATGCATTGATTGACATTTACCTCGAAGTGTTAAGAAAAGTGTCGAGTAATACCAGAAAAAAGCGCATGCCATTTTGCAGTTTTTTAATACGCTCGCCGGGCGTACAAATTAAAGCCCTATTTAAACCTTAACCATTCACTTGACAAAATTAGTGCTTTGTTAGTGACAAAAACAGCTCCCCGATGATTCAAGGCTCGGGTGGGTCCGCTTCTATTCTTAGACCCACATGCATCAGGCGAAAAGCAATAACTTCAAAATGGGTGGCTGTTTACCCGCAGAAACTGAGCACCATATGACGTTACTGTGACGTCAAAGCCGGTTGGCTGAGGACCGGCTTAGTCATGATGCATTTTTGTATCCTTTGTCCTTTCATGCCCCAAAGCACATGCACCACACCAACAAAGGAAGGGTGGCTCGTTCAACTGAAAATAGCTCAGGGTGACAATGTATGCACGCAGAAGAAAATAACTTTCCTTTGAGCAGCATAAATATGGCGTGACACGTATTTATTAATGCATTTTTTAAAGGCACGTGTGTATCAAAATGGCAAGATATCCCACACCAGTATCAAAGTACAAGCCCCGAATAAAATCTATGGGGTGAAAAACGAGGGCCAGATTGGGCCTCTGTGTCAATCCGATCGTTTTATTGGCGCAACTTGCACAAACAAGTGCAAGTCCAAAAACGACGCGTGATCGAATACTTGGGGTCGATATGGTCGATCCCCATTTTTCGTGCCTCAGGAGGGGCAAAAATTGCGCCATGGGCCGGCTTTGTCTTGCAGAGGTCTGAGCTTTCAAACCTCACCGTGACTTTGGAAAGTTCTGAATAGAAGTAGGAATTCAACGTTCCGTGGTTGGAGTCTGGTCTGACGGGGACTGTGCGTCGGACCCCGCTCAACAAAACCCCGTATGTTTTGTATGTATTGATGGTCAATTCAAAATGTTACCGAGGCTGAACTGTGTTTGGGGCTTGTCCTTGTGTCAGGAATTTCAGCTAGTAACAAACAGTGACTCTGTGGTTTCACAGTTTCCCACCATTTATTACATGTACTTCATGCTCATGGCGGGTACGTGGTCTCCAAGAGAACACTGTGGTATTTTGTTGTCATTTTGATGTTTTTCAATACACCACAATGTTACCTCTTACTTCATATTTCAAAACTGTGTCAGTTCAAAGCCATTGAGCTGGGACTGTAGATAAATTTATTGTACAAACCAGTACACTTTGAAGTGAAAAGTACAACGTTTGGGGTCATTTTTTTGGTTACACGTTCACGTTCGATAGGGAAGTCTTTTTTGCGCGAGGGAACGGTTTGTTTGTTTTTACTGAGGGTTGAAGATACGGTCAGTTGGGAATTGGTTGTTTCGGCAATTGTTGGGCCTAAGAGTAGATTCA